CTTTTCTGTCAGATGCAGTATGGTTAGTGAAATATCCAGTGATGCTTGGTTCAGACCTTTCTTTACTTTTGGGTCACACGTGACCAGCTGCCTTGGTTGCCTCAAGTGGTGCAACAAGTTTGTTGTTTGGACCTTTAGTGGGAACAGTTTCCTTGTAGCTAGTTTTTTTAAAAAGTGTTTTATAATGTGTTAATGTGTTAATGTGTTTTGATGTCCTGATATATAAAACCTTAGATTGAAAGAGGGTTACTGTAAACCTGGCCTCAATATTTCTAACATGCATGTGCATCGTTTTGTTTTATTACTCTCAACTTTTTCCATGTAGACTTCTTTTAAGATTAGAAGTTGTGGCGGTCGATGCGGTCGTGCTCCCTCTGAGATTTTGCCATTTGCTTCTGCAGCCGAATGTGCTCGGTGAAATCCCTCACGGCTCCCGATCCCCCAGCACAACGGCAGATGTACTTTGCAGCCTTTTTAGCCACAGCTGGAGCATCGTCGGGTACGGCACTCAGCCCTGCCAGGTTCAGGCATTTCACATCTGCTTGATCAAAACCTGAGAGGGGAACAGAAGATCATTAGTCCTTATAATAATTTACTTAAACAAGCTGCAGAGATTGGCTGCACAAACACAAACAGTCAGACATCTTTAAGTGTTAAGTTGTTTCCAGACTTTATTCAGATTTGATTAAAACAGCAAAATACTTTAACATAAATGTTAAATACACGACTTTTTAAAGCAGTAACCTCAACATATTTCCAATTCCTGCCAATTAAACTGTTAACACATAAAAATACAGTTGTTTTACCCATGAACGCCACATCCTTCCATTCCAGCTTCTTCTTCTCAACGATTGACTTCAAATCATTCAGCGGCTCCTTTCCCACCTTCTCGACCTTGCACTTTATCCTATCTTCAAGTTTTTGAAGCAAAGCTGGGTCAATGGGGTCTTTCTCTGTGGTCAACAGTATGACCTGGTGAAGCGAGACAGAGTGCAGTTTTGTGAGCGACGTTCCACAAGATGGGCCAGTTTACATAATTCTGTTCAGACAGCTGAAAAAAATCCAACCTCAACTTGTTCTTCCTGCAGCATCCGAAGCCCAGTTGTGTCTCTGGTGTTGACAGACACCATTGCCTCTCCCGACACAGACATAAAGATCTTTCCATCAGTTAAACAGCCAGAAATGTTGCAGAACATTAGGCGGACCACCTCTGGTGTGTCCTTACCGAAGTAACCGTACCTGATTGGAGAAACATAGGCTGGATCAGGAAAGGGAATGGATAGTTGATTAAAAGCTGACTGGTAGACATTATTTTCGGCGCTTCTCACCTGAGAACCCTCTGTTCTGCCACAGGCCAGTCGATGTCCACGTCTATATCTACGCTGTACTCCGGCAGCATCTCATAGTAGGTTAACTTACCGCCCTACAGAGGTGAAAACACAAGCATGACTTAGATGTATTGTTACACAAAGGGTTTGGAAAAGCCGTGGAGCTGTCACAGTCCAATTTGGTCCTTTGGTTTATTACAGATTTTTTTTCCCTTGTTGGGTACCAGCCAGATCTCTGTCCTTATGTTTTGGGTTTTGTTTTGTTTTTTGCCAGATTCTTGTCCTAAATACATCAAACTACACAACAATTAAAAAGAGAAATACGTAACACTGTGAGTATCAAATGAAATCGAACCCAATATCAGTTTCAGTAAGAATCCCACAAAAATAGAGCACAACTAACTAAACTTTCAACACAGGAAATCCAGCTCAGAAAGTCTGTTTTTCTTTACTTCCTCCCACAGTTAAGTTCAGCTTCTTATTCAATGACACTTTTTTCCTATAAACATAACATTGTTCCTGTTTTAAGCAGACTTTTTCCTGCAGTCCAAGGACTCCTTTTCATAATAAAGAGTCTGGAGATTTCAAAAGGTTGCAGACAGCATGCCCAGATATTTTTCCAGCAAAAGGGATTGAACAATCTCTTTGACAACTTAGCTGATGAAATCTGATCCAGTTGTCATCAATCTCATCTGCTGCTGTTTTATAGGTGTGTGTTTAATGTTGGTGCCAACCAGGAATAAAAAAGGCATGATTTAACTGTTGGGCATTGGGGCTGTTTTTTCAGTCATTATAAAGTCATTATAGTCATTTTAAACCATATATGCACCACCACCATCATCACCACCACCACCTTTACCTGCAAGTGTCCTTCCTTTTTAATGAGCTCTTTTTTGGCGAAGTAAAATGAGCCATTCTCACACAGCTCCCCTGGCCAGTCCTGACGCCGCGGCCGTTTGGCTGGGTCCAGATTGAATGGCACTGTTTGCTCACCAGCTAGAAGGAAACAGGATCCATTAATAACAATGCAAACTCCTCTTTCCATTGAAGAGTTATTTACACAGAGAAGCTGTCTGCTTTTTGACATAGTAACCAGTGTGTGAGAGAACTGAGTTTTTAAAAAGTCATTTAAGGGAAATTCATGCCATCATAGTAGGTGGGTGACCAAATCTGTGAGAAATATGTTAAATTCTGTAGCTTTGTTTGTTTGTATGTCTTTTATCATATACATGTTAAGAGTTGTATTGATCTGTTCATAAAACTAATGAAAAAAGGAAACACGAGTGTGCACGATGAAGAAGGATGAAATGGATATTCCAGTAAAAGGAACAACAGTCACGATTTATACTTCCAACAACCAGTTTATGAGTTAACCTTTAAACTGGTTGTAAACCTGGAGGTAGGTGTGTAACCAAGTGCACTGACAGGTTGTGCGCGTGTGGGTAATTACAAACACAACTTAGAAATACATGTATGTGCCAAAGTGAAATGACTTTATGCCAAGTAAAACAGGATGCATGGTTCAAAATGTCTTATTGGTGATAAGTAAGCAAGTGAAAAGGAATTAACAACTAAATTAGGACTTAAAGTTTGATTTTATGATTCACCGCATCAGGATATATTAGCACTCCGTATGGTGACAGTAGGAACTTAAGAGTCTTAGTTCTTGTCTGAGGGGATTCACTGTTCCTGCAAAAACCCTTCACTTCTGTGAGATTCTGGATCTTTCATGCATCTTTTAAAATACAAAAGCGTGGGACTAGTCAGCTAGATTTTTAAATGTTAGCTGTTATCAGTTGTTTTATTAATGCACAGCAGCAGTTTAATGTTCAAAGTTACAATGTCACCAGCCACTACCTGGAGCTGCGCACCTGACGATGGCTGCACTCCTCTTTGGCACTCTGTGTGAATGCAAGATACAAATGAAGAAAAGTGGAAAATGAACTAGTGACAGCCGTGATGACCGGTGATGTTTTGGATTATTATTAGTATAACTATGGAGAGTGAACAAGATTTAAAAGATCAGTGTCTTGTTATTTGTTTAAGCTATCAACATACTGGGAAATGATGCAAGTACCTGACTTTTGTTTTGTTACACGAATCTGCTGCATCTGATTTAGGTTGGTAAGAAATGTCAGGCACAGTGTGCAGTGACTTAATTATTGGTACCTCTTTTAACTCAGCCAAAAAGTGGTAGGGCACATATAATCACAGAGCAGGGTCAGCAGATGCTGAGGCACTATGTGAGGAGTGAATTAGAGAGAAGATTGTGAGGCAGGTCTTCTCATCATACATCACTGTCTGACCTCGCAAATGTGCCCCAGGAAGAATCATAAAAGAAATTCGCATTTAACTTCTAAATTTTGTGGAAAGCCTTCCCAGAAGAGTTGAAGCCATTATAGTTGCAAAACGTCAGCAGAGATCATATTAAACCCTATGGATTAAGAATGGGACGTTCATATGCATGTAAGGTTAGACAAGCAAATACTTTTGGCAGTATATTGTATTTTGTAAACTGCCTGAAAAACAAACACTCTCTGCAGGGAGACGAGTAATCCATGAATGCCTAACAACTGCCTTTGTGCTTCCCCCCGGGTGGAAAAGAAGCACAAGTGTGAGTAAGTATCAAAACTGAAAGCTGCTTGCATGCAAATCAATAATTATCAGATGAAGCACCTGTTGGATTTTGTTTATCACAGTTAATAATTACTAAGGTGCAGGTGCAAAGATCGTCTATTTAATGGCTGCACCTCCCTGTCATTTGAATCCTTTAACATACCAACAAGAAATCTGACCTTTTTGTGAAAATTGAGAAAGTGAGTGTAAAAAAAACAACACACAGGTCTATTTGGAAGAGAAGACAAACAAGATGATCAGGATAACCACACCCTCTAAAAGTAGTTTAAATACTTTCCTTTAGGCAGCTGAAATATAAGAAGCACTCCAAGAACACAAACTTCATTAATTACAGTAATTTGATGTTCTTTGTTGTTTTTAAATGCTTTTTAAGAGGTTTGTAGTGCAATAAGAATCAGATAAGGGGGGCATTGATATGTTTAGTTATACAAACTTATACAGCTTATTATATAATAATATACTACAGTATATTTCTAACTAACTAGGCAGCTCATTCTCTTTCTCTTCATAATACTTTCTGTAAGACAGTAACACATTTTGGGGTGAGATTAAAAAAAATGGCAGATGTAAAAGGTAAACGTGAAATCAGAGGTCAAATGTGCAGACTTGCTCCCTTACATCCTTTTTCAACCTCCTTCCAGCGAAACTGGTGTCTCCTGACCACTGCGAAGACTGAATCGTAACCGTGCACCGTGATCTTCTCTAAGGCCTCCTTCACGTGGAACGGGTGGAGACACGGTGATGTAGCCTGGAAGTGGCAAACTATATCCACCTCTGTGAAAAGAAAAGCAGAGTAATCTGCACTGTGTGGCAGCAGGGCAATGCTTTGAGACCATCTTAGAAACACATTCCTACCTTTATGGTGCTCAAGAAACTCTTGGATGGTTTCTACTGATGATGAAAAGTCTCTGGAGACTTTAGGACTCCTCCGGTGCACCTGAGCACCCCATGCCTTTGCAACTTCCTCAATTTTATCATGGTCTGTTGATACCCACACACTGTGAAAGTGAAGGTGCATAATCATTATTATTAATTGTAACCGTCTCTTTTCATAACACTACTAGACATTCTGTATTTTGTCCTCATAGCCAAAGCTATAGTGATTAGAGATCGTCCAATGTAAGCGATTAAGAAAAACAATACTCTGATATATCGCCCGATATTTTTGTTTTTGGATATACAAAACAGTTCATTTCTCTACCAATTGTCATGTGTTATTTATTTTTTTAATTGTTTGTTTACTCCCGTTTTTGTTCGGATCAGTGTGTTGAATTTGTGGTGTTGCAAGAGGGAAGTTGGAACTTTGAACAGTCAACACTCGTAATATAGTTGAAGGGTTGTCACGGACCCGGTTCCGGGGACTCGGGTCCGTGAACAGTGTGGACCTTTATTATTATTATTATTATTGATGGGTGTGGTCCTGCCAGCTGCTGGTCACGCCTAGGTTCCCACACACCTGCTTCTGATCAAGCTCGTCGGGGGAGCTACTTAACAGAGCGATGGAGCTTCCTCCGGCGCAGGATCGTTGAGTTAGACTCCATGTCAGTGTCTCAAGTACTGTTAAGTGTATGCCTGCTGGAGTAGGTGCCATAACGGCTGCGTCTGTTGTTATTTCCTCAGGAGAGCGGAACACGGAACTGCAGGACGCACGGGGTGTGGCACAGGAGCAGAGAGCACGGAATACCAGCACTTGGGAGAAGGCACAACACAGGAGTTGAGGGAGCACTCTGGAGACTTATTGTGTGGTGTACAGTTACCCCCACTGTAAATAAATGCACTGTTCATTGCACTAAGTCCAGCGTTTGGGTCCTTTCTCCAACATCCCCCACGGCTTGCCCTGGCAAACCATGACAAGGGTGTTTCTTCCGTCTCTTTTTTGCTTATTTAATTTTTATGTCGACATTTTTATATTGATATCGACTTTTGGTCTATGGATGTGATCCATTATAATTAAGGAGATTAGACTGAGACTCAGTCTCTTCACTTTTTTTTTTTTTTTTTAAACTTAACACATGAAAGCTCACTGAACAAATTGGGGGTGGATCAGGAAATTTGCAAAATCAAATCTGTGTATCCACCTGTTGGGGCGACTTAAGAGGGATTCTTGGACTCAGCGTGCTTGGCTTAATATTAATAAATGTGTCCAGTATAATTGTCGACAATGACACAGCCAGCTGTGATAATGATGGTAGAGAAGTCTCACCTTATCAGAAAACAAGACATGACCTGCAAAAAGCTAACAAAACAAAATGAGAATTTGTGTCTGTAATTAACCACAGGCACACAACCTGCCAGCTTCTTGGTGACACACATACCTCCAAACTTATCGGTAAACGAACAAACCGGTTGTATGAAGACTAAATAACTTGTAATTGCTGTACTTTTCGCTGGAATATAAATTATGCCCTAGCTCAGTGCCCATTCTGCAGATTTTTTTATTTTTATTTTTTTAAATGAGCGGATCTGATGTATGATAAAAAACAAACAAAACAACAACAAATCTGCACTTATAGTTAGCAGATCTTTGATGATGCTCATGCTGGTAAAACGATGGCTACAGCGGCACTAAACTGTTAATTAAACTGAGCTCACACTGCAATAACTTATTGGCAGTGAGGACGTTTTAGGGTTTTATTGCATAATTGTATGAATTATTGTAACTTATAGTTTGAGTAGTTGTATTTCAGCTGAGGGCTACTTTAATGGGAAGAGACGAATTCCAGCTCATAATAGTGTTTGTAACGTCAAAATAAGTTTATGGGACGTCAGGTTGACGTGTCGCTGGCAAAAATGTTAGAAAATGTTTCTCATAATGTGCAGGTTATGTCTGCGGAGTCACGCCGATGAAAAAAAAAAAAGAAGTGGAATATAATAGATAAATGCGAGCAGTTTTCTTGATTTGTGACTTTGTTTAAGTAAACATCCTAAAAGGACGCGTGGGACTCCTCCACGTCACACTGAAAGCTGAACACAGAGCTGCTCAGCAGTAGCGATCAGGGAGCAAACTGATGCAATTTATATTCCCTGACTTTACTGATGTGCAGAATACTTTATGGAGGCCGTTATGACATGTGGACAGAAGTAGGTTAATATAATATAATCAAATCTGATTTGATGTTTTCATTACGAAAAGAAATTAAAGTTGGCTGTTGGTGATCGTTCATCTGACCCTACAATAAAAGCTCTTGTCCTTCCTCACCTGTCAAACACTCCCGAGTCCACGGCGGCCCTCAGCACCCACCCGATGAGCGGGACCCCGGCCAGCATCTTGATGTTTTTCAGCGGGATCCCTTTGCTCCCCCCTCGAGCTAAAATTAAAGCTGCTATGTGACTCTTGTCATTCCGCGGCAGCTTGCTCGATGACTGACATTCGTCTAACGAGGTCTCATTGTTTCTCCGTCTAGCGGATGCCATAACGACACCAAAGATCTACTCTTACTACGAAGCAAGTCTGGGTTTATCCGGGTGACTTCCGTGGCCTACTATGAAGGTGGCTCACTTATTACCGACATAAATCGCTATGATAACCTGTGCAGTAAATCTACCTGCTCCGGAGCTGGGTAAGTTTCATATCAGAGAGCAACAGGCGTGAAAGCACCGCCCACCGACCAATCAGGTCTCCGGAACACAGCGTCATCATTGATGAAAGATCCCTCAGCCCTCTGCAGTAAGAGGAGGCGGGTTTATAGTTTGTTCTATGCGCCTTATTATAGGAGCTGAACCAGGACACACGCACTGTACCGACCTGTGTGTGTATTAATCTGGTGATTTGGAAAATGTATTCAATTTTATTCTCCTCGCTTACATTTTGCTGTACCTGCAGCTGTTTGAACAGCGAACACACACCAGGAACACCTTTTCAATCAGTCACATTAACTTTGATCTGCAGCGATACCTCTTTTTCCTAACCGGAATAAGAGGTTAGAAAAGAAGGGTAGGGGAACTGCAGTCAGGAAATGAAAAGAGCTGTCCGCTGTGTTGAAACTACAATTTGAATGAGATGGACAACACTCCTAATTCAGCAGGCAAAGGATAAAAGCCTGTTTAAAAAAAAAAAAAAACAAAACAAAAAAAAAAACATCGGTTACAAAGGCTGTGATTTTAAAGAACCAAACTTTGGCTCTTACCTAAAATCCTTCACTCAGCCCTCACACTGAGTGTTTAGATGCCAGCCCCATTTATTGCTCTGTTATTGTTGATTTTTCCAGCAGCTCTCTGACCTTATAGAGCGATTTTCGTTTCTCTTGTTAAGAATACGATGTCCTCCCTCACACTCACTGATAGTATCACTGAGATCTGGATGTTTATTGATTATATCTTGCTCCTTCAGATTATCTTCACGGGTCAACAAGGTCATTGTGTAACGTGCTGCTTGTTCACCAAATGTATTTTGAATTACTTTTTCCTTCTTGGTGAATCTGAAAAAACAACAAAAGAGAACAATCTCTCTATTCACCTCCTTTTCAGTTAGTCCAGTTTCCGTACCAAATTGTGAAACACAAATCCGTTTAAAATGACGAAATTTACAAGCTGCTATGAAAGCAGATGCTTAAATGTGCTGCATGCTTTTAGGAAGGAACATCTGGTTTACTTACTCCTAAATGACCCATTCTTAAGCAGCATTTTCTGAACTGTATTTCTGATTTTACCACAAGGTGGCGGCGTTTTACAATAATGTGTTTGTATTGAAATAGGGCTGACCCAGTGACATTGAGGCGGTCTAGTAGTAAATACCGTATATCACAGTAGTTGTTGTAAGAAATATTTCAAATACAATAATTGTCAATTTAATATAATGTATTTGATGTAATTTAATTTACAGTAAAATTACAATTATTACAATATCTCATATAGTATCCTGTTTGAGTAAAGTTTCTCTGATCTTTTTTGACACAATTCACACACATTATTTCTGATTAATTATTACTTTGAGCTGATTTTAATAGCAGCAGTTGATTTTAAAAAATCCATCCACATTCAGTCTCGTCGATTTCGCATCCCTCAGCACAGATGATCACACACTTAAAGTTCAGAGGTGAAAGAAATATTTCTGCTTCGTTTGAAGTTTGACTGCAGGTTAGAGTTAGTCCAGCAGGTGGTGCTGCTGGATGAAACCAAACAAACTGATTCACAATGATGGCTGATGCATTTTTTCCAACCCTCTGTGTGCAGATTATTTTCAGTTGACTGTTGACTTCTTAATTTGTTCCATCTAATCACTGAATAAAAATGTATTTAACTCAGTGGAGAAAACATGAAATAAATGTCTGCTGTTCTTTAACACCATCATTTGATCAGCTCAAACACCTCAGTGAATCTTCTTCATGGGAAACTGGTTCATTCCAGGTTTTTTTGTTCGAAAAGACAAGAAAAAACCCTCCATCAATACATTTAATCTGTTTTATTAATGATACATTATTCAGGAGATCAAACTAAATGTGAGACCACAGCTTCAAGACACATTAAACCAATAAGTTTGTCAGATTATGTACAAAGTAGAATTCAAAATTCAAATTCCCCCAATCATTACAAGTAGGCTAATAATCAGTGATGATTAACATGTTTCTATTCAGCAAACTAACAAAAACTATGTTATTGAAGATTATATTTCACATAAAAAAATTAAAAAAGAGACTTATAAAGACAGTTATGCTATGCTGTGGTTATGTTCTTCTGTCTTTATGATAATTTGTCCTTAATAAGCCTCTGCTAAATGATCACAAAAACTCAGCTGTCCCAAAGAAACTGATTGTTTCTTTCAGCTTCATGTCCTTCTTCTTTGGGTAACATATTGTAGCGGGTCAGGGCTGTTTGGGGTCATGACAGCTATGTTCTGTTGTTCCAGGCGGCAGCGTAATGTTGCCATGGTTTCAGGTGACACTCTCTCTCTCTGCGTGGAGAGAACGCCTTTTTGATGTTGTTGTGTTTTCTGTTGAATGGCTGTGCTCCCTGGCTAACTCGCGGGAAGCAAGACCAAAGGACACCTCTGTCTCCTCCTTGTATAAGCTCGCCACAATATATTCTGTTTCTCTTTCTAACACATACTGAAAAAAGGTTCACACTATTACTGTTATTATTTTTCATTTAATTCCTTATTTACCAGCTGATGATACATTGGGGCAAAAAAGTATTTGGGAGACACAGATTGCTGTCCCACTTAAAAAGATGAGAGAGGCCTGTAATTTTCTGCATAGGTTCACTTCAACTGTGAGAGACAGAATGTAAAAAAGAAACCCAGGATATCACATTTTATGATTTTTAAATAATTTATTTGTATAATGGTGCAGAAAATAAGTATTTAGTACCCACAAACAAGCGAGAATTCTGTCCCTCACAGACCTGTTACTACTTCTTTAAGAAGCTCTTCTATTCTCCACTCGTTACCAGTAACAATGGCCTCTGTTTGAACTCGTTATCAGTATAAAAGACACATCTCCACACCTTTAAACAGTCAGACTCCAACCTCCACTATGGCCAAGACCAGAGAGCTGTCTAAGGACACCAGTCTTGTGCAGGTGTACAATCCACAATAGGCAAGCAGCTTGGGAAGAGGGCTCCATGCAACATGTCAACTCGTTGGGTACAAATGATCTTGAGAGCGGTGAGGAAACCGCCCAGAACTAGTACACGGGGGGTAACTGGTCAATGACCTGAAGAGAGCTGGAACCACAGTAACAAAGATTAGTAACACACTAGGTGTGGAAAAAAATCCTGCAGTGCTCAAAAAGTCCCCTTGCCCATCTAAAGTTTGCCAGAGACCATCTGGATGATCCAGAGGAAGGCGAGAATGTTATGTGGTATAAACGCCACTTACCATGTTTGGAGGGGGAAGAATGCTGAGTTACATCCCAAGAACACCATACCCACTGTGAAGCATGGGGGTGGAAAAATCATGCTTTGGGGCTGTTTTTCTGCAAAAGGGACAGGCCAATGAAGGAGTGGCTTTGTAAAAAGCATTTCAAGGTTCTAGAGTAGCCTAGCCAGTCTCCAGACCTCAATCCAACAGAGAATCTGTGGAGGGAGTTGAAAGTCTGTGTTGCCCAGCGACAGTCCCAAAACATCACTGATCTAGAGGAGATCTGCATGGAGGAATGGTCCAAAATACCAGCAACAGTGTGTGAAAACCTTGTGAAGACTACAGAAAACGTTTGAACGCTGTCATTGTATATAACAAAGTATTCAGATCAACTTTTGTTATTGACCAAATACTTATTTTCCAAATAAATTCTTTAAAAAGACAATGTGATTTTCTGGGGGGGGGGTTTTTCTCATTTTGTTCTTTACAGTTGAGGTATACTTATGATGAAAATTACAGGCCTCTCTCATCTTTTTAAGTGGGAGAACTTGCACAATCGGTGGCTGCCAAATACTTTTTGCCCCACTCTAAATGTTGACTTCCACTGAGTATAACTGTGTAACACAATCCCCCAATTTAAATTTTAAAATTGTAGTTTTTAATGCCGAATCCACTGCAGCTCTTGATGCAGCTCCAGCCGCCCCTGCAGCTCCCATACCTTGCACTCCTCGAACTAAAAATCCAACTCCAACAGCAACTACAGCACCAACAGCAGTAGCAACTCCAGCACTACCTTTTGCAGCAGTTCCACCAATAATGTCATCCCAGTTCCCCTTAGTAAACTCGTTCCTTCTTTCTGCTTTGTGTCTTGCTTCTTTGGCCGTCATCTCTGGATTTTCTTTCTGAAGTCGTTCCATCTCTGTTTTTATGGCTTTCTCTGCCTCTTCAAACATATTGGTGGTGTAGCAGCATCCTCCATTTCTTTCAGTCAGATTGTTGATTTCCTTCAGCAGCTCTCTGACCTCAGAGCGATCCTTGTTTCTGCTGTTAAAAACATGATATCCTCCACCGCACTGACTGATAAAGTCACTGAGATCTGGACGTTTGATTGCTTCTTCTATGGTGTCTTCATTCACATCATCTTCATGGATTACCAAGGCCATCGTGTAATCAGCTGCTTGTTCACCAAATATCTTCTGAATGATTTTCACAGTTTTTTGTTCTTCTTTGGTGAATCTGTTTGGTTGGATCACAACCAGGAACACATGAGGACCAGGAGCAGCAAAGGAGATGCATCTAAAAATCTCTCTCTTCACCTCCTTTTTAGTTAGTTTAGTTTTGTACAGACCTGGAGTATCAACTACAGCCAGTGTTTTACCTTCAAACAGACCTGTTTTCTTCTGACACTCTGATGTTTCAGAGGAAGAGGAAGCTGTTGATCTAAATACTTTTCCCCTTAAGATGATGTTTCCTGCTGCACTCTTCCCAACTCTGGTTTTCCCAACAAGAACAATCCTGAGGCCAGCTTCTTTTTTTCATGGCTCTCTCAGCCTCTCTGAACATTTCATTGGTGTAGTACTCTCCTCCATTTCTCGCAATCATTGTGTTGATCTTCTCCAGCAGCTCTCTGACCTGAGAGGGATTTTTGACTGTGTTGTTAAAGACATGATATCTTCCACCGCACTGACTGATGAAGTCAGAGAGAGTTTGATGATCATGGATCAAGTTTTCTATGGTGACTTCATCTCTCTCCAGATT